ATCTAGTAGGCAAATTTGTCTGCTTAAAAAATTTTTAGAAAGTTTTTTTTAAGTTTTTTTTAAATTTTATTTAAGCTTGACCCTCTATTTATTGACTAAAATTAAAGATATTTTTTTATAAATAATATCTTTAAATTTTAACATTCTATCTTTAATTTTGATAAAGATATTATACTTTTAATAAATCTTATTTTTTAATTTTACTATTAAAATTTTAAAAAATTTCTTAAAAATTTATATGTTTCTGAAGAGAAATTTTTTAGTTATTACTAAATAAAGTTAAAATTTTGCTTAATAAATTGTAAAATAATAATAATAAAAATAATTTAATTTTAAATTTTCTACAACTTTGTATTAAGATACTAGAGGTTAAATCTTAAATTTTTATTAAGCAAAACTAAAAAAAAAGAAAAAATTTTTAAAATTAAAATTTTTTTAAAAAATTATAAATTTTTTTTTATAAGTAATCTCAAATTTTTTATAAATATTAAACAAATAAAAATAAATTTTAAATAGTATATAATTATAGTTTTTATTTAAAAAATATTATATAATATTTTTATTTTTAACAAAAATAGATCAGATGTGAATTTATAAAATTTAAGCAGGTAAACTTGCCTGCTTATTTGAACGGTTTAAGGGATAAAAATTGCCAGATCTCTTGCAATATAAATGACACCTATTCTAAATTAATTGATTAATAATATATTTATTAATGGTGTCACCTAGTGTTGGTAGGCGAAACTATTTTTGGCAAATGGTGAAAGATGAAACTAAACTGGCAAAAGACGAAACCTGGCAAAACTCTGGCAAAATGACAAAACTCTGGCAAAATGGTGAAACTTTGGTGAAACTGCGAAACTCTGGCAAAACTTTGGCAAAATCTCTGGTCCTGAGAAAGTCAAAATTTGGCAAAGATCAAGCCTTCTAAGACTTTAGAAAAGACTGAGCCATGTTAGTAAACCAAAATATTATGTATGTGGCTATTATGCACAGCATACGGCTTATTTAAAAATGTATAAAAGCAATAAACAAAGTGATACCTTTTGTTTGTATTCAATAATCTTAAAGAAAATTGGATTTCTGGCTTTTGAAACTTCAAAGTAAATAAATTCAGTTTTTTTTTTAGTAGTGCTTATCTATAGATTAATATTATTTATGTAAAATAAATCTAAGTATTTAAATAAATTTATTGTTAGAGTATTGAGATTATTTCTTTTTAATATTTCATTGTTAAAAACTTTAATTAAATACTGTACATATGTAAGTAGTTTATTAACACTGTTATTACTGGCAAATATTTTCTGATAATTTATTTTATCTAGCTCTAAATCTTAGGGCTAACTTTAAGAAAATAATCATTGTTATGAATTTATAATATATAAAATATAGTAAAATTTAGATTATTAATTAAAAAGTATCGTATATGATAGCATAATTATTGTAAAAGTGCATATACAAGACCCAGGCCTGGTGTATTCTACAAATTTTAAAACCTCTAATAGACCTGGGGGTCTGTTGTATGGACATTGGTCTGATAATTGGGTTAGGCTTTTATATGTGAAAGTCAAAAACTTATTGACTTTATGTAATATATATGATGTTTTAATATCATACTGGGTCTTTTAATTATTGTTTTCTATAATATACCTGGGTTTATTTTATATTACCAAAATTTTTATTCAGGTTATAGTCCTGGGTCTGATTCACTGTAGGTCTACTATTTTAGTGGGTCTTGTATATGCACTTTTACAGTATGCACATATTGTTTTTTGAATTAAATTTGTATTAGTTAAAATTAAATATTAGATTGGATAAGAGTTTGTATATGAATTAGTAAATGTATTTATTTAACATCTAAATCTGGTTATTATAGGTAGGTTATCTAGGTAGTAATATTATGAATATAGTTTATACTATTGTTATTTATTTTACTAAAATTTATCTTTTTAAAATTACAATTTTTAGACTCTATAATTTATAATTATTATATTTGGTTTAACTAATTTATTTAAATATAAATAATTTATTTTTTATATTTTAGAAATTTAATATTATTTTTAAAATAAGTTCTAGTAAAGAAAATGAAGAAAATGTTAGTACATCTACTTCTATTATAGAAAAAGTAAAAAAAACCTTGGTGGGCATCCAGAAGGTCCAGTTTGGAATTATTTTACTAAAGGTGAAAGAGTAGGAAAAGGAAAATATAAAGCAACTTGTAATTTTTGTAGAATATTATGGAAATGTAGTGAACCAATTGAATTAGAAAGTCATTTAGCAAATTATTGTCTAATGGCAGATTCAACAGTTATTAGATTTTTTCTTGCAAAAATTCTTTCTAATGATTCTGAAAAGATAAATCTAAGAAAAAAAGAAAAAGCAATATCTATGGAAAACTTGATCAATATGTTAGTATAGTAGATTTAGACCCACAAAAAATTAAAAAAATTCATCTTGCTTGGACTAGAGCTTTTACTGTTTGTGGAATTCCTTGGAATGTTATCGAAAATCCTTTTTTTATTGAAGCATTAAAAAAAACAAACTTATCTTATAAACCACCAACTTGCAAGTTTTTAGCAGGAAATTTATTAGAACAACAATTAGCTCTTATTAATCAAAAAACTGATAATATATTTAAACAATACTCAAATTTAACTTTAGGTAAATATTTTTAATTTTTTTTTAAATTAATTAAATTATAACTAATTAATTTAATTTAGCATTAGATGGATAGACTAATAAAAAAAAGCTATTCAATTTGGAATTTTATTATTATTACATCTGAAAATAAAGAATATTTATATAAGATTTGTGATTATTCTGATAAAATATATACAGAAGAATTTTTAGCTAACAAATTAATGAAGTTTTAGATTCTATTGGTATAGATCATTTTTCAGCTATAGTTAGTGATAATGGAGCTAATATAAAACTTGCAAAAAATATAATTTTATCACAATATCCATATATTTTTAGTATAAGATGCATAGCTCATACTATTAATTTAGTTGTACAAGATATTTTAAAATTTGAATAGGCAGATAAATTAATTAAAAATGCAATATTTTATATAATTTTTTTAAATCTTCATATAGAGCAGGTATAATATTTAAGTATATTTTTATAATTTTTAATTTTAATTATAATTTTAATTTAATATAATAATTATTTTTGTTTAATTTTAAAGAAGCAGAATTAAGATTATTGATAGAACAAATGAATATAAGTGGTGGAGTTCTTAAAAATTATTCTAAAACTAGATGGACAACAGCAAGTGAAACAATTGAAAGTATATTAAATTTAGAAAAAGTTTTAAAAAAGGTAATAAATTAAATTTATAAAATATTATTAATTATTATTTATTAATTTATTATTAGTTTTAGATTGTTGAAGATAATATTATTACAAATAATCAAATTAATAATATTATTAATCATTATAATTTTTTATTCATTTAAAAGTACTAAATTTTGTATTATTACCTTTAAAAAAATCAATTTTATTATTAGAAAGTAGTAATACAACTTTTGGTGATTGTTTTTTAAGTTTAGCTAAAACAAGTTCAACAATTAAAAGATTATAATACAACAATATACAAAATTTTGATAATATTGTATTAATATTTTAAATAAAAGATTTAAAGAATTTGATGATGATTTATATCTTTTAGGATATTTTTTAATGCCAAATTTTTGTAGTAAGTATAATTTATATTTTATTTTAAAAATAATATTTAATTTTATTTTATATTTATATTTTTAGATTTAGGATTTAAAAAAGGACAATTTACTAGAATTATTAATATTGTTGGTTCTATTTGGCAAAAATTTAGACATAATCGTAAAAGTGCTGATATTTTAATTGCCTATCTTCGACTTTATAAAGAAAAAATATCTATATAACCAATTATATACTCAAGGCCATGATATTTCTATAACTTGGTAGAATTCAATTGAACCAGAACCTAAACATCTTCAAGAATTGGCACTAAAAATTTAAAAATTGTTCCAAATAGTGTTTCTTGTGAAAGAAAATTTTCTTTACTTATCTGGCTAACTAGAAACAAACAAATACAAATAAATATTTAAAATTTAGAAACTATTGCAAAATTATACACATATTATAATTCTAATGCAAAAAAAAAACTTTCTTATTTTGCAAATAAAATTACTAATGATAAAGTTTTAGAAATATTAAATCAAACAAATATTAGCACTTTTGAAGAAAGATTAGAAAAAGAAGGCTTTAATAAAGATGAATTATTATTAATTAATAATTCAGATTTTAGTGAAACTTATACAACAACTAAAGAAAATTTAGTTTTATTTTTAGAAAATAATTTAGATTTAGATAATAAAATTTTCATTGATAATTTAGAAAATTTTTTAGATAAAGAAGACAATGATGAGGATTTATTATTAGAAACTAATAAAATTTTAAAAATATTAATAAAAACATTAGTCAAATGTTAGAACAAGATGATTATGATTATGATTGGGATCCTAAAGATTTTATAAACTCAGATAATGATTAAGGTAAATATTTAAATAAAATTATTTATTTTAAATATTTATTAAATTTTATATTAATTATTTTTACAAATTTTTAGAATTTTTAATAATAAATTCAAATACTATATATTTATTTACTATAAAAATCAAACAAATTAAAATATATATTAAATTTATATTTTTATATTAGACTTTTAATTTAATAGAAAATTTTTTACCTGGTTAGTAGGTTTTTCTTTCTATTAATGTTTTTAAATATTTTAGTTTAATTTTTATTTTTATTATTGTTATTTATTTTATATTTTAGTTAAAATTAACTTTTTAAAGCTAAAAATTTATTTACTTTTATATTTTTTATATTATATATTTTATTTTTTATTTTTTTATTTTTTATTTTTATAAATTTAATAAATTTATTTTATTAAAATATTAAAGTAACTAAATTTTAAATTAAAAACTTTATCTATTATTTAAATTATATAAATTATTTATGCAGTAAAACCTCTTTAAGTATAACTTTATAAATACACAATTCGTTGACAAAATAATTCTGCCAATTGTCGTTAGGGTCAAGTTAATATTAGAGTTAATGTTAGTATAATTTATAAAAAAAAAATGTCTGTGAAATGAAC